CAGTGTTCCTGTCCATGCATCTATAGCTTCAAATAAAGTAAAACCTTCCTGCAAGTGTGTACTTCATTGTTGCTGTGGGGCCTGACATTCTGTTAGGAATCCCCTGACGGGTGTTGGGGTTCCTAGTCAATCACGCTCAACACCAGGTCTTCAGAAAATTCAGTTTATTGAGAGAGAAAGTACTTGAGACACCGTGAACTCTTGTGTCAGGAATGGTGGGAGAGGCGCGGGGCTTTTGGGATATACCCCCTTCAAAGGAGACCCCCGATACTACAAAGCCAATAAGCAAGCACTCTTAAGCACGGGCAAATACGCAGCCGTTAGGTTCCCAGCAGGAAGCTCAGGGAAGAAGCGCTTCTAGCTTCAAGGACACCTGCAAGATAAGTGTAAGCAAAGGAGAAGAAGTGGGGGAGGCGAGCGAGCACATCCCTCCGGATGTACCTTCCAACCCATGGCAGCATTAGCCGGCGGGGTTGGTGAGGGGAGGAATCTCAATGTAGTATAATGCCATAGAGTCCACCTTCCAAAGTGGCCATTTTCTCCAGGGGAACTGATCTATGTCACGTGGAGATCAGTTATAACTCCAGGAGGATCTGCTACCTACCTGCTGCTACCTGCTAGTGCCATTATAAAAAGCGCTAGAAGGGCCATGTGTAAAATGCATTGTCCAGTTTTGATAGCCTATATTAGAAGATTAAGTCATACGGGAGAAGATGCAAAGGAGAACTACCAGAATAATTACTGGGATGAGAATTCATGTTTAATTTACCAGAAGGGTGTCCATGAGGCCGTGTGGTATAATAATACACTATGAATATCTGGTGGACAGGGGCACTAGAAGTTGCCTTCCACTTAGGCAGGCCATTGTTTTGTCAGGTTCAGTGGTCTGTTCAGACTGGCAGTGACTGTCCAACTTGGGACTGAACTTGGGCCACTCCGCATGCAAAACAGATGCTCTGCTTGTTCAACTCAGCCCGGGCCCCGGCTAAGACATAGTAGAGGTGCATAGACTAAAAGCTTAAGGGTAGATGCATGCAGTGATTAATAGCTTTTATCAGCACATGAATAAATGTAGTTTGTAATTCACAGGGGTCATTTCCTGCCGGAGTGCAGTGGAGTGGCACCCTGGCAGAAAGGAGCCTGGGGCGCGCCCCCCCCCCCCCCCCCC